GCCCTGGTCCACGCGAAACCAACCTGTCAGTGGAAACCCAAGCTGCAGCGCGAAACCAACCTGTCAGTGGAAACCCAAGCTGCAGCGGGGCGATCCAAGCGAATAGCAGCCTGCCGTCTGACGGCGCCCAGCCGGAGCGACATGGGAACACGTGCTTAATCTTATGCTGTTCCCATCGTACTTCAGGACCACATCCCAGAAATTATTTCGAGCACCCGGGAAAGTATCGAAACGGTGTCGAACGAGTATCGCCTCCCAGGGCCCGACACGTGAACACCCTCAAGTTTCGGTACTTTCTTGGTGCTCGAAATTCTTTCTGGTGATCAGGGCTAAAGTAAATTGGAACGTCATAAGTTCAATAATGCAAAACATGTTCTCACCGCTTTTGCGGTCCCCGCGCGCCTCCAAAGCAGCCGTTCCACTGCGTACGTCTGCGCATCCCTGATTCTGGCAACTCGCATGGCGATTGCTTTTTGGCAGGACAGACCTTTCTAGAAAACTCAGAATCTCACTCCGCCTGCAACTTTTCTTCGACGCATCCACGTCTTCATCGACGCATCCGCGCTCTGGCCTGCAAGAATCCAAGCTGTAGTGGGCAAACCAGTATGCAGTGGCGAGGTCTGGCCCGCAGGAACGGATCTGCAATGACCGTCTGCATTTTTTCCCGTCAGCGGCGAGGCGGCGAAATCCACACCAACATGAAGCTTGATCGGGGCACTGCACTAAGGAACGGATCTGCAATGACCGTCTGCATTTTTTCCCGTCAGCGGCGAGGCGGCGAAATCCACACCAACATGAAGCTTGATCGGGGCACTGCACTAACAAGCGAATTGGCCGGCGAGCAAAGAGGGAATGGGGGGCGGCCGAGAGGAAGGAGGGACGCTCAGACGCCAAAGAGTTCGACGATCTGAGCAGCCGGGCGGGCAGCAGCAGCCGGGGAACCGTCTGCAAATGCAGGCATTCTGCAGAGTTGTGCTACCACCTGCATGACCAGGGCTGGCGGCGGCTGCGCACGCACTGCACAGCGGGGGCGGCCGGCGGCAACAGACAGAGTAAGTCCGAGGGGTTGGTTCGAGGAAGGGTGCGTCGGGGCAGGGTCTGCTCTGAGATCCAATCAAGTACACCAAAGAGACATCCAAATCAATTGATGGCTTGATGGGTAAGAAGATCGACCGGGAACCCAGGAACCCGGAACCCACCGAAATCGGCCCAGAACCAAGAACCAGGAACCCGGCAACCCAAAACCGGGAACCCGGGAACCCAGCCGGCCACCAACATCGGCGAGACACTTTCGCCAAATCTTTCACGCCGATCTCCATGCCTCGCCACACAGATACCCTAGGCCGAGGCCACAACCTCTTGTCGCATACGGCAGAGGCGCGCTGCCGAGGCCAAGATGCCTCCAGGACGGCTCCAAGACGGCCCAGCTTGGCGTCAAGACGGCCCAAGACGGCTTCAAGACGGCCCAAGGACCACTGAGAATGCTATGCAGGCACGGTGGCGGGGCTTGCCGCAGGCAGCTGAATCAACTCACTCTTGGGGAAAAAGCCATACTCAGGGCCATGCAGTGCCAGGGATATTGGACCACTAGTAGGGCCTCTGAAACAGGCTATCTCACGGAGAACTGCAGTGCAATGTGTGGTTGCAACGGCGCCACCATCTTGCACCGCCTGTTTCACTGCCAGTCTGAGGAGGCCGTGATGTTAAGAAGTGAGGTTTTCCCACCAGCGCTGCTAGACACATGTGCAAAGCTAGACGCATGCAGCAAGCTAGCTAGCAACACCATCTGATACCATTTGGGAGTTATCCCTCCCCCGTCCTCGGGCCCTGACGCCTTCCCTTCCCCCAGCTAGGGATTATGTTGTGCAGGTCGGGTAAGCAGGCGCGGAGCCAATTGTAGGCTCTACGTGTCACTGGGGCCCCATCACGAGCTCGGACGGCACCTGCACCAGGTCTGGACTCAAGCCCTTCGAGAGAGAGCTGCGTGGACAGTCTGTGGGTATATCCAAGAAAGGAGGCGACCTGCAGGTGGAGATCACAGGCCAAATGGATTGGCCCTGTGCCTCAAACCCCGCAGGCAGGCGAGCCCGTCGGATGGTGCTTTTACAAGAGACGCTGACTTGTGTGAGCCTACGGCTTTTGTTGATTGCAAGTCCGTTCTTGATGACTGCCATAAGCCACTGTCAGCGCGCCTCTATCATCGCAATGTGTAGCATTAGGTCGGGCATGTCCTCCTACAGAGATTTTTGTGGACAAACTAAAAATACACCATAAATACCCAAACATAGCCAACACACACTAGGAACATCGTCCCCATGTTTTGGGTACTATGTTGGAATCATCCTCCTGTAGAGGGACAGGCCCGACTTAAATGTAGCACCCCTCACTTGCAGATAAGAATTAGAACGGGTCGCGGGGTGGGTCGCGGGTGGGTCGCGCGGGGTGGGTCGCGGGTGGGTCGCGAGCGGGTCGCGGGCTGGGTCGAGAGTGGGACGACGACAGCAACAACAACAACAACAACAACAACAACAACAACAACAACAACCAACCACCAACAACCACAACCACAACAGCACCCAGAACCATAACCACAACACCACCACCAACAAAAACACCACCACACACAACGAAGACATCAAGGGCACCAACACCAACACCAACAACAACAGCAACAACACCAAACACAACCACCAACAACAACCAGCACCACCAACAACACCATCACCAACACCACCACCAGCACTACCACCACCACCAACAACAGCAACAGCAACAGCAACAGCAGCAACATCAACAATACCAACAACACCACTCGTTTTAAGACTGTTCGCTCCTACCTGCTCACGTGCCCGTCAGTACGTATACCCCAAACCCTCGGTACCCGCCCTCGTCGTCTTCGATCGTACCCCCTTGGAGGTATATCTTCCTTACCTGCCACGTGCATCTAGTGCAGCCCCTAAAAGAAGGGAAGAGGAGACGGGTGGGAGGGGGAGGGAGATGCATGGCGCACGAGGGAAATGAGCAGGAGGGGGGCAAGGAGCAGAAAACAAGTGGTAGAACCAGACGGGCAGATCGGGTGGGCAGACCCATAGCGGGCAGGTCGGGAAGGCGGGCCCAGGCGACCAGGTCGAGCAGGCGGGTTGCTGAAGCGTGGGTCCTGCATGAATCGCGAGGAGGTCTCGAGCGATAGCGCGATTCCCAAGTAAATCGTAGGAAAAGCCAAAGCGAGAACGTGATTCCTGAGCGCCGAGGGCGCACCGTTTGAATAAATTACGAGGAAGTCCCACGCGAGGGCGCGGTTCGTATACACATTGTGAGGACTCCCGCGCGAGAGCGCGATTTGGGCATACATTGTGAGGAAGTATCTGGCGGGAACCGTTGTTGTAAAGCATGGTCACCGGAGGGGAGGGATCATCAGTAATTACTTTTCAGTGGTGGGAATTCAACCATAACAACACCAACAACAAAAACGCAACAATAATCCGCACCGGGGAACGGACAGTGAATGGCCGTTCGGCCCCCTCTGATGTACGCAGGCACGTTCAGGACTATGCTTGGCAGCAGTCTTCTTTCAGCGGCAGTCAGCGTAACTGTACATCAGGATGCCGAACAGGTGTTGCAAGCTGGCAGGCACGCTTTCGGCAGTTTGACTTATCTGCAAGGTCCACCGTCGCGTTCTGAACTGACACATTAGATAGGGGACGCCGCCTGCATTATTGGGTTTATGCAGGCGAATTTACTGAGATGGCCGCGCCGTCTCAAAGAGGGGAGGATGACCAAGGAGCAGGTTCCCAAGCCCCAGCTTAGTGTTGTTCACGACTGGCAGCGTGCAGAACATGTGCCATGGAGGCGTTCTGATTGTTTCACGTCCAGCCACTCTGATGAAGCTGTTCAGCGCAAGGCTAATGCAACGTGCACGCCATTTTCGGGTGATTTCCAGGTCCGACTTAACAAGGTCCATGACTTACACTGCCTGTCGACGGGCACCTATGCAGATGGGCTACTCGTATCCTGTGCGAGGTGCGGGACATACCTACTCCACTTTTGTTTTCAAGGGACTGCTGAAGGAGTGCAAGAGTCCACCAACGAGTGAAAACATATACTCTGCACGCAAGCGGCTGTTGTCAGGACTTCACCCAGACGACGGCATGCCTTTCAATGGCATCGAGCATATTAAGGCCCTCCAGCAGCACCAAAGTCACAGAGGGCCACCCCAACTACGTGCAGAGGCTGAAGTCCATCGGGACCGCCGGTTCAGCGCGGCCTTCCTGCTGCCCTCGAGTGAAAACAATCTGCTGCTGCTCCTCCTCCTCTCCTTCTGGTTCTCCTCCTTCTTCTCCGTCACCTCCTCCTCCCTCTCCCTCCCTCTCCCTCCCTCTCCCTCCCTCTCCCTCCAACTCCTCTTGCTCCTCCTCCTCCTCCTCCTCCTCCTCCTCCTCCTCCTCCTCCTCCTCCTCCTCCTCTCTTCTCCTCCCCTGTTTTCCCTCCTCCTCCTCCTCCTCCTCCTCCTCCTTCCCCCCTTCCCCCCTTCCTTCCCTCCCATGCCCTCCTCTCTCTCCTCCTCGCACTGGGCCGAGGCGCGAGGCGCCCGCTCCTAGGAACCGCCCGAACGCGCGCGCCGCTCGGGCGCGGCCAAGGCCGCTGCAGCTCCTCCTCGTCCTCGAGGTCGTCGTCGTCCTCGTCCTGCCCCCCCCCCCCCACCTCGTCCTGCCCCCCCCCCCCCACCCCCCCCCCCCCCCCCCCCCCCCCCCCCCCCCCCCCAGGGGCGCGGCGGTGGGGCGGGTGGGCTCTCCGTCCATCCGCCTCCTCCGCCTCCTCCTCCTCTCCTCCTCCTCCTCCTCCTCCTCCTCCTCCTCCTCCTCCTCCTCCTCCTCCTCCTCCTCCTCATCCCTCCTCCTCCTCCTCCCCCCCCCCCTCTCCTCCTCCTCCTCCCCCTCCCCCCCCAGATCCCTCCGCGTCCTCGCGCCTCGCCCGCTGCCCCCCCCCCCTTTTCTCCCCTGCCTCCCACTTCCCCTTCTCCTCCTCCTGGGCGTGCGGGCGCGCGAGCGGTCTCATCCGCTGGGGCCCGCCCGCGCCGTGCCGCGCCGCGCGCCCGCGCGGCACGACGCAAACCTGGCTACTTCCGACGGCCTCCGAAGTGCCCAGGAAGCCCCGGAAAGCGGGCCAGGGACCCACGGGACCCCCGCCAAGAAGGAACAGGCCTCAGAGGTCCTCGGAGAAAAGGAAAGGCGGGGGCCACCAGGCCGCCTAAAGCTACGGGTCCCGCGGACCCCCTACCACCACCCCGATGGTGTCGAGGGCGAACAGCGCGCCATCGATGTCGGGGGTGGTGGATGGGGTCGAAGCGCATCTCCACATGTAGACCGTCGTGCCCCCCATGCCAAGAGCCCGGCCAGGAACACCAACAGGAGCCAGGCCGGGCAAGGGGCACAGGAGGGGGCCCGCGGAAAACAACGCAAAAGGAAAGCGGCCGCAAGGCCGCGAGGCCAGAGAAGAAGGGAGGGACCGTAAAGGCTCAATGAGGCCCGTGAGGAAGGAGGGGAGACCCGGGGCCTTCGCGGGGACCCCTGCGACCGGGCGCCCCCGTGGGGCTGTCGTCACAGGAAGGTGTCGTCCTCATTCCCTCCCCGCCTTCGGGGGGGGGGCGACGTACCAGTCGCAATGGGTCGCGTAGCCCGCGGGCCCCTCCAGCCGACGAGCCGCAGGACGTGGCCGCCGAGCACAACGGTCTTGCGCTCACGCCACGGGCAGCAAGAACGAGGCGACGTGTGCCCAGCAGTCAGCACGCAGCCCTTGTTCGCACTATGGAGCCATGGCCCTCGTCCTCCGCCCTGAACAGCCCTCCGAAGGTGATGCTGGCTCCGAGGGGAGAACCGCGGCTCCCCGAGACGCCGTGGCTCACTCTCGTGACCTCGCTATCCTCCCAAGGGATGCAGGCTCCAAGATGTGTGCCAGAGGGTGCCCCAGGAAGTGACGGTCTGCGTGCTTTCCGCTGGGTCTTGCGTTCTGTTATCTGCGAGTGCTTGTGCTGCGTCGCGGCGTCCCCCGCCCTTCGGCGCTGTGCGCTGTGGGGTCCGCTCGTGGGCTCGTCTGCTCGCTCGCCGCGTAGTTGCGGTCGCAATGTGTAGCGTACTCGCTGAGACCGCCAATCACCATTCTGTCTGTATGGATACTTCCGCGCGCTGCCGACAGGATGCGTATGATGTATTCACCGTCGTCGGTGGTGTTAAGGATGTACTTGCTAGTGGCGGATAGGTCGGTCATGGTGACGAGGCTTTTTCTTACCAGGTGTTGTAGTTCGTGTGGGGCGGTTGTCGCCATAGGCCCGATATTTGTCATGCAAGCCGTGCCGTTGGCTACGCACGTGTACATGAGGGGAATGGCGTCTTTCGCGTTGTCTTCCGTGGTGATCGTGTGGTCGTGTCTGCTGGCGTCCCTTCTGCCCCCGCGGGTGTTGCTCGTCGCGTAGTTGGTTGCTGTTGCCTATGCTCGGAGTGAACTTATCGTAGTAGGCGACGTCGATTGTACCATTCCGTATGTCGTCGTAGATAGCGCCGATGATGTAGTCGACCTTTCTCTCGTTGTGCTCCTGGCTCGCGTGGCTGGCTACGGTGAGTATGCGTGCCCGTCGGTGTTGTAGCATTGCTTGCTGCTCGATGCCGTTGACGATGCGCATCGCGTCGTCGCTGTCGGCGTTCTGGCCGGCGACGATCGGATCGTAGTCTGATATGTCCAGTCGGTGCGTGGCCTTGCGGTATCTCAGTCGGTTGTATCAGCTCGTGTACGTTGTTGGCATCGATCGCCTCGCAGAGCGTTGCCCTCGCCGCACATCTCGCCCTTCATCTGGTTGCGGTGGCAGAGGGACTGGTGCAGGAATCATCGAGGTGCGTTCGTGCTTAGCATCTATGCGTAGTGCGAGTGATGGTCCGTGGAGTTGGACGCATGGGCGCTCTGCGTAATCTTCAGGTAGTCTTTTTTTTGTTGGTCCGCCGTGTGTGCCTTATTTCCTCGGGTATGTCGTTTGCTGCGTCGTCGTCGAGCCGCTTGCTGAAAGTCATGGCGAGTGATGCACAGTGTCTGCTAGCGCCAATATGCTTGTACAGTCTGTTCACCGTCCAGTACTCCTTCACGCATGCTTGGCATGTAGCCCCGTGGGTGTAATTGATTGTGTTATCATCCCGGCTGTGCTTCGCGTCCATGTGCTTTTGGTACGCTGGCTTGCCCTTCAGGGTTTGCCCGCTTTCGTAGCAGAGGTACCTGCAATCATGTTGGCGGGCTTCACTGTCAAGCGTCGGAATGGTGCTGCCGTCGCACATGTCATTGATGCGTCTTCCCCAGGCAACTGTAGCTGCTTGTTTTCTGCTGTGCTCGACGCCTGTCTTGTAGGACTGTGCGGTTATACTTTTGAATTTGGATGGGGTTCTCCTTTTGCCATGCTTATCGATTGGCGTATGTCGTCGTGGTTGGGCGTGTTGTGGTGCTTGCTAGTGTACGCTTTGGTGTGGTGAAGGTCGTCTGCAATCGTAGTGGACCATCTGCAATTCGGTCGGGCATGCCGTAATTAGCCGCATGATCTCTCGCAACCTTGCTTGCCGTAGTCTTTGTGGAAGTGTCGCGGTGCCTGCCCAGCTGATGATCTCAATGTTGGTAATCTTCTCCCGCTGTGTTGTCTGTTGGTCCATGCCCAATGCCATCCTCGCTGCTGCTGTGTACGCAATGGCGATCCTGTCCGTGTCCGTCCTTTTTGCAGGTCTCCATGTTCCTGCATTGTATAGTGATAGTGAGTAACCAAGGGCACTGAGGTAATGTATCTTGGCAGTATTGGTGATCTTCTCACGCTTGAACACAGTCTCTCGGAGTGGTGTGGTAGCCTCCTTTAGATCAAGTGCACGCGCTGCAGCTTCCTGGGTGTAAAGTCAACCCGGTCGTTCACCATTGCGCCCAACACTTTAAGCGTTCGCGTGATAGTGACTGTCATCCCCATGTCCGTGTACTGTTTCTGGTCGATATGGATTTGTCTTGCTATTACGTTTTCCCTTCTTGTTGCTGGCGAAGATGAGGCAGCTGGACTTGATAACGCTGATGGGTCGCCCTCGCGATAGTGTAGTTCGTATCAGTATCCCCCGCGTGGTTTTGACTGTAGTCTCGATCGCACTGCCGTCAGTGACCGTTGCCATTGCTTTCCCATCGTCGACGAATGATGTTGTCGTCATGTGCTGTACTTCAGAATTACTACAACATGCTGGTGGGCTGCCTGGTATTCTGACTTTGGCGTCCGCCTTGATGGCCTCTTCGTGATAGTCTTTCGTACCTGCAGACACCAGCGCGTTGAATGTGAAGTCGGCGATAGGTACTACTGGTCGTGCTCCTAGCCTTGGTGCTGCGAATTCCGATTTGCGCTCTGTGAAGAACCATGTGCTGCGGTGAGCTTCGGTCAACATCGATAGCAATGCTTGCTGTCTATGTGAGTGCTGACGATGCCACTGTTGAGCACGAGGGTCTGAATAGCCGGCTGCGTGCGTTCAGGGATGTCTATGTGGCCGATCATATTGTCGATGCCGTCTGAGATCATCTGCATATCGTGTACCAAATTCGTAGCTACCTTGTGAAAGGCGGACTTCAAATCAAAAATGATCATGATGAGGTTGGTTCCTTCCGCGGCTGCAAGGTTCAGGGTCAGTCGCATTATAAGGTGATTGTAATCCGTGCTGTAGTGGCTTCGACCTCCCGTCTGTGTGCTGACGAATAGCCCAGGTATCAGGTCCTCCATGCACTGGCGTATATACCTGTAGTGGTGCTTGATGGTGGTGTTGGCGAACGATATCGAGTGATGATTTTGCAGCGTCTCTTCGGTCCTTTTTCCTTTCCAGAAGCGCGTCGTTCGCGATCCTTTGTGCGTCGCTGCTTTTCGGGCGAACAATGCAGTCTTCGAAATTAGCGGGTGTGTGTGGCGTGCCATCTCTCGTGGTGCCGCGTGGGCGAGGTCGTCGGCAACTTCGTCGGGCCCTGCAGCTCGTCCGAGTTTGCACCGGGCCAGTTGTTCTTCAAGCTCGTTGGTGCTGGCGAAATTGTCGATGCTTCGGGTCGTACCGTTGTCGCAGATGTCGTCCGCGTTGTTGTATCGCTCTGGTATTTTGGCCTTTGTCATGAAGGTCGCAACTTCTATGTCGCCGAAGTGATGGACGGCCTCGTTGTGCTTAGCGCCACATCAATAATCGCCTCGCCGCTGCTATCCAGCATCATAAGGCATGTCCGTGTCCTGCGGCGCTTACGCTCGCCAAATATTAGAAGCTCACGTACTCGCTTCCATTCGCTGTATGGCTCGTTGTTGTGCCTGGCTTCTGCTGCGCGTGTAGCTGGTTGGTTGAGGAACTCGTCGCAATCGTCGTTGGCCATTCGTGACGATGTTTTCTGCTTATCATTGTACCACCCTCGTGCAGCGATGAAGGATCCGTTGTAGTCTTTAGTGGTGTTAGCCCGCTGTGCTTCGGTGGCAAGTCGCATTAGTCCATTGTAGTGCTGGTCGAGGTACTTTGTTGGTCGGCGTCTTGTCGAGTGTTCGATTGTGTAGGCTATTTATTTGATGATTCTTCTCGTAACCAGGTGGTGCTTTCGTCCATGCGGCCCTGCTTTCCGCAGTAGCTTTGCAAGTCGTCGTCGGTCGATTCTGAACTCGAAGGTCT